CAAATGCACAATTTTCTGCAAGTTTGTGCACAGCAGTGATGAACGACTCTGTACTTTCCCCTTCCTGTTGCCGTCTGGAGTTAAACTGTGCTCTTTCAAGAATTACGTTGTTTTCCTACGTAATGTTTGTCAAATGCCTCTTTGACAGTTGCATATTTCTTTTTATCTGCATCGCACAGTGGTAAAACTGCCAAAACATCATCAGCAGCGTCTCCCATAGCGTACAGGAGTGCATTAACTTGATACTCGTCTGATTTGTTATCAAGAGCAGTTGCAATGCGAAATCTTTCGAACCTTCTGATCCACTTTGGCCATTCGGCAGGATGAGAAAAGTCAAACGTTTCTGGGTACCGTGGTCGCCATCGTGACGTGTGGATCCCTGGCTTCCTCGCGTTCAGAATCCAAGCTTTCCGGTGCGCCGACCTCGTCTCCTCCCTCCGACATGTGAGGCTCGTGCTCGACCGCGCGCGCGCACGCGCCCTGTTGCTAGCGCCGGTCACAGCCTCGGCCGCGCTTCACCTGCATCCCGGTCTTGTTCGGGTTACCGATGCGAAAACTTCTCTCGCAGTTAACTGCACCTTACTGTACTCGAAAAAGAAGAAGAAAAAAAAAAACAGCGGAGACCGCCGTTCGCACTTCTGACACCACGTATAAATGATGACACTGGACGCAGCGTGTTCGGGTGATGTTTTCCAACTTTACTCGTAACCCGGAAGCTCCCCCCACACACAGCCTTATGGGAACAGTAGTATACCGCTACCTGAGGCACATCCCAAATCTGCCCTGTTTCATTGCACATAACAGATTAGGTGAGAAGACCAGCTGAAATAATAGAACAGAAGAAAAAGCAAGCAGATGACAATTTCAGTTTTTTAACATTTTCTGTTATATACAAATATTAAACTAAACATTTGTAAGTCTGGGTGGTGATGAGACTATAAGCTGGGACCTTTCTGTGTGCAGTTTGTATGTTCTCTCTCTTCCTGTGTGGGCACAATCAGAATTAAGCATGCATTTTAGACCAACTGGTGACTCTAAATTGATGGGGTGCAAAATGAGAAACTGTGATACTGCATCTGGAAGTCAGGAGTGGCAAAGATGTATGTGAGGTGGTGCAGGAAATGCATGAGGAGAGTGAGACAGTGATGGGGTGTGCAGTAGGAGTAACGGGTGAGTTCAAGATGGTGGTGGGATTACATCAGGGATTCACTCTGAGCCCCTTCTTGTTTGCAGTGGTGATGAACAGGCTGACAGATGAGGTCAGGCAGGAATCTGTGTGGGCTATGATGTTTGCAGATGACACTGATCTGTAGTGAGAGTGTGGAGCAGGTTGATAGAGAGCCTGCAGAGGTGGAGATATGCACTGAAGAAAAGATAAATTAAGGTCAGGAGAAACAAGGCAGAACACATGTGTGTAAATGAGAGGGAGACCAGTATAACAGCAAAGAGCAGAAGTAGTGATCGTGGATGAGTTTAAACACCTGGAGTCATCCATGCAAAGCAACAGAAAGCACACGAGAAGTAAAGAGAGAGTGCAGGCAGGGTGGAGCGGGTGGAGACGAATATCAGTGGTGGATTGTGACAGAAAGATAGCAGCAAGAGTAAAAGGGAAGGTTTACAAGATGGTAGTGATGCTGTGATGTATGGTTTGGTGAGACGGTGGAACTGAATAAAAGACAGGAGGCTGAGCTGAAGGTTTCATCATCTTCTCTCTGTGATCCCACATGAAGCTGAGCTGCAGCAGCGGTCACCTCCATCGCTGATTTCTTTGGCCGGAGGAGCTCCTAACTCCAACACCTTCCCCTTCCAGTCAGCGTCCATCATGGTGAAGAACGGGCAGACAGTCACCTTCGATGAGGAGGCGATGAAGAGAGCTCTGCAGTACTCCGCCTCTAATGGGTGAGAAATCCAGACGACAGAATCAGTCACTGCTTTGTGACAGTTTTCAGAACAGCATTTCAGTTTGGATTAGAGGATTAAGACAGACGCTCATGCAGACATGTGCAGTATTTGTGTTAAAATAAAACAGATTACTATTTTATGAAAATAGATTTGTCTTGGAAACACCTGATTTCTCTTCAATGCGTAGAATACCTGAGCTGCTGACGTGGATGAAAAACCTGCAGAAGAACCTCCACAACCCGCCGACTGCTAGCTACAGCCCTGAGAGCGGGCAGATGGAGATGTGTGTGACGACGGGGAGCCAGGAGGGGCTCTGCAAGGTACTGACACCACCACCTGTAGATTTACCTGTCCATCTGACATCAGCTGAACAGCTTAGACCCACTGAAACCCTTAAGCTATAGCTTTAAAGTAAGAATCTCTATATTTTAATATAGTTTTATTTATTATAGCAGTTTTTCATGTCAAGGAAAACATTCACAGCCTGTGTCTTAGCCTCGTATGTTTGCTGGTTTTGGTGCAGGTGTTTGAGATGTTGGTCAACCCCGGAGACAATGTTCTTCTGGATGCGCCCACGTATTCGGGCACGCTCGCAGCAGTAAGAGCATTTTTCTTCTGCACATCACAAACATTGTGACACGAAGCACTGCGACCACCTTACGCTCTCATTTCCTGTGCAGCTCCATCCTCTCGGCTGCAACTTGGTAAACGTTCCCAGCGATCAGCATGGCATGATACCTGCAGCTCTGAAGGAAGTCCTGTCCCGGTGGGATCCGTCAGAGGTCCACAAGCCCGGAAGCACCGCTCCCAAAATCCTCTACACTATCCCTAATGGAGGAAACCCCACCGGGGCCTCCATGACAGCAGAGAGGAAGAAGGAAGTGTATGAGGTAAGTCGTCGCCAAAGTCATACTCAGTGAGATAAATACATGCACACGCTGCAGATTTTGACTCTCTTGAGTCACGGTCGTACAAAGCAAACCAGTGAAGCGTGCACTCTGCTAATTACAGCCTGTTGTAAAGCTGCTTTCCCTGCAGATTCACTCTGACGTTTTTTATTTAAACCTCTCTTCCCTTTAATAGCTGGCCAGGCAGTACGACATGCTCATCATCGAGGATGACCCCTACTATTTCCTGCAGTTTGAAAAGGTGCAAAGACAAGAGATTTTTTCTTTAAATGACAAACGGCAGCCTGTTAATCTGACCTTCATTAATAATGAATAAAGGTCACAGTTAGTTCATGTCATGTTTACTTGTGTGGCAGCCGTGGGCTCCCACGTTTCTCTCCATGGATGTTGATGGGAGGATCATCAGGACCGACTCCTTCTCCAAAATTCTGTCTTCAGGGTGAGTTTCTCAACCTTTGTGACCGTTTAGGTGGGTGGATTTGTTTTACTCCCAGTACATGTGGAACTGATGTTCCCATTTCTTGATTTGCCCTAGCGACTATGAACCTGACACAAAAATTTATTTTACATGTTTGTAGGAATGAAAACGTCAGCATCCTTCAGGAACACATATATTTGGTTCAGCCCTCAAGTAAACAAACTATTTTAGCGACTAAAATGACAGAATAGGGTGATGTATGACCTGTAATATGTTCTGCAGGAATAGTTTGTTTAAATGGCTGAATATGTGTTTATCACAACTGTAGCGTTCCCTTTTGTCTATGACAGAAATGTTAAATGATGTTCTAATGTACTTATTTGTGGTTCTGGCATCACATTTTTTCATCAGATCTTTATGCCATACTTGGCTGCTTTTTTTTAAGAGACTGAAACACCACCTGCCTCTAAAGGCCACCAACTGTTCATGTACACATTGATCAGTAACAGGGAGAAAGTATTTCAGGCAGCAAACGTTGTCCAAATATGCCTGAAAGCAACAAGTTTGTCCGTGGCCTGTGTCTGAGCTCCAGCTGCTCAGTTGTCAAACTGCACACACCTCAGGATACCTTGTAATCTTCTTCTGTTAGCTGCAGTTCACAGTAAAAAAAATTGCATTTAATGGTAAAAGTGGAAAATCAGTACTATTAATGTTAAAATAACATGTTTCCAGTGTCATGTGTTGCTCTATTGGTATTCTTGCCACATCACTGGACCCGTGAAAAGCTGTAGGAGTAATAGATTGGGGGGGGGGGAGAAATGTCAGGAAACATTTTTATGAGTCAAAGTACCTCAAAGATCAGACACTGATGTAGCATACAGGTCTAGAAGGCAGCCCATGTGCTAAAGGGTCACTGCAGGGGTCCAGGTTCGAGTCTGCTCTCAGCCATTTTCAGTTTAGGTAAAAACGCTCAAAAATAAACTCCTAAAAAAGAAATATCACAGTGCCACATAAAAATATATGGCTCACTCACTCGCTTGAAGTTTATCTAGAAAAATCCCTCCGGTTATTTTTTTATTTATGTTTTTAACTACATGATGTGATGGCTTTGGAGAGTGGCTCCATAGTTTTTTACATATTCACCTAACAAGCAAAAGTTCCCCGGTTTGTTTCCGGGAGGAGACACAAATCCCTTTTGTGTCATCAGGCATAAAAATCTGCCAAATCAAACACAGAGCGCTACCTGCTGTGGTGAGAGCCTTGTGACTAAGAGAGCAGCCAAAGGTAACGCATGGAATAACTTTTACACTTTAACCACAAATAAAAAACAACAAATGCAGTCTTTTAAACAATCGTAAGTATAGTAGTGAGGTGAATTGTAGGAAATTATAAAGATTACAGTAGTATAGTGTGTAGCTATTTCTAAAGGGGTTCAAGCAGGGTTTACTGACTTATGTTGTCGACACATTCAGAGGCTTCCAGCCAAGTGACATAGTACAGACACTCGTTTATCAAGCAACATCCTCATGGACACAAAATGTAAATATGGCACCCCAGCCTTTATCTGCACAGTAATGTGTGTTTCCAGCATTGCTTATCCAGGCTTCAGTTCCTCAGTTTCAGTGAAGTCACATTGCGAAACACAGTCTGTTAAAACAGGATCCGGTCACAGAGTGTTTACGTCTTAGGTTTAAGAGTGAAGTTAATATTTGACTCCAGGTTTTATGTACTGTGAGTGTTTCTGACTTGAATTATTCAGCTGGTTGTGTTGTTGCTTCAGACTGAGGATAGGTTTCGTGACCGGCCCCAAACCGCTCGTAGACCGGGTGGTGCTGCACATCCAGGCTTCGACGATGCACACAAGCACCTTCACACAGGTGAGAAATCTCCCACTTAACACCACCCAGAATCTCATCGTATTCACCCTGAATGGACTAAAAGAAATCTTTCAGCGTGAAGTGCTGTTGATAGTGACAGTATGCCATCACATAAAGCAGCAGTAAACACAGAGCAGGGCAGCACAGTTGCGCAGTGTGCTAGCAATGAAGCATATTTGTGAGCAGAGTCATTACTGACTTTTATACTCTGCCAGATTAAGTTCCCACCCACCAGGCATGCCTGATTTGCACAGACATAAACTCAAACCAGGCGAGGATGAGTGGTGTGCTGCTGTCACGCTACATTTAAAGCTGAAAAAGAATTTATCGCGTGTCTGAACTAGCAGAAGCAGCAGAGGAGATTTTACTCAGAAAGAAGGAGGAGAGGATTAATGAGGACCTCCAAAAGATCTGCCTCCAACCTCTTATTTAATCCTCACCTCTGCATATTCATCTAATCTAAACCAGAAATGTTATTAATGCATGAAAGATTTAAAATGCAAACAGCTCAGGCCAGAACACACATAAACACCCCATGTGAGAAGGAGGAAAGTGTGCCTCTTCAACTCATTAAACTATTAATATGCAGTTTTATTATCTGCTGTAGAGTCATTTTACAGTCAAATGATTTGGAGTGATGCCAATATATAATCAGAGTGCCCTGCTTTCTTTCAGCTCATGGTGTCTCAGTTGTTGCACAGCTGGGGACAGGAGGGTTTCCTCCAGCACATAGACAAGTATGTCACTTCCTGTCTGACCAGTTTGACTTGTTAAAAACTGACTTGGATCCAGTTACGTTTCCAACAGTAAATCAAACAGTTCTTTTCTTTCCTCTTGCAGGGTGATTGAGTTTTACAGGAAACAGCGAGATGCCATGATCAGCTCTGCAGACAAATGGCTCAAAGGTTTGTGCACTCACTGATGAAGCCCAAAGTATCCACATGTAAACAAGCAGTGACCTGTTCACTTTACTTCATGTTTCCTTTAAGCTGGACTCATAGACTCTATATAACAGGTGATGTAGCCACAGTCAGATCAGCTTTGATGTGTCAACACTCCAGACTGACATGAGTGATTCTGATAGGCAAACAGTAACGGCTTTTAAACATGGCCAAGCCGTGAAGGGTACCATGTTTTGTATTCTAGTTCACTTTAAATTGTTCCATGCTGTATTAGGTATGTCTATAAACTAGTGGTTGAACCATAAAGTCAGCAGGTAGGCATTTAATGAGGTCAAGTTACCAATAGGGTAATTTTCTCTTTGCATCCAGAGGTGTCGCCTCCTGCTGGAAGCAACAGTCATCCTTTATATACAGTCTGTGCTTGCAAACATAGATTTAGATCTTTGATGGAAGGCTCACACCCACTGAGGCTGAAGGTGAAATCTGTTGTCAGCATACTCCGTTTTAAGGTTCCTGTATAGTTTTCTGAAGAAGAGCAACACTATTAAGCAATGACCAAGATTATTTGAGTGTGCTGAGGCCCTTTCTGTGCCTGTGTGGGTCTTTCTGGGTATGTGAATGTGGTTGTGAATTGGTGGATGACTGAATGGAGTGTAAAGCGCATTGGGGTCCATAGGGGCTAAGTAAAGCACGATACAAATACAGGCCATTTACCATTTTACTCCAGCTTCCTCCCACAGTCCAAACACCAACTCGTTAGGTTAACCGGTATTTCTAAGTTTGTGTGTGTGTGTTTCAAATTATTAGGAAAATGTCTGGTTTACAGTTGGTTTCTCAGGAAGGAAATGGATTAAACATATTTAATATTTATTATATCCCCATTAATGGAAAAAGGAAAACTTACCTCTGCATCCAGACAGCTCTGACCTTCATTCATAACGGGCTGGAGCCAAAAGGTCATGCTGTATAAATGGAAAAGTACTGTAGTGGGGCCACACCCATATAAAAGTGTTAGTTATTTACATTCATCATAAAGCTTATGATTACTTACAATTAGACTTTGGACAGGTTGCCAGTCTGTTACAGGGCTAACACAGAGAAACAGACAACCACTGACACTCAGAGGCAGTTTAATCACCAGTTAACCTAACCCCACTAACTGCATGTCTAACTATGGGATGAAGCCAGAGTACTCACAGAGAACACACACACACGCACTAATACACTCACACACACACACAAACATGCACTCCACAAAGGAAGGCCACGGCCGGCCTGTGGAGTCGAACTCTGGACCTTCTTGCTGTAAGGCAATAGTGCCGCCATCTAACAGCAGTCATTTTTGTAAAATTACTTACATTTGGCAGCAGATTCACTAACAAACCCAGAACTAAGGTGTAGTGAACTATCAGTGATTTTTGACACTTCCTCTCATCCTTCTTCATCTTCCTCAGTCACTTTTCTTGGACTTTCTGCCCAGTAGTATTTTCAGGAACCAAAGACACTGAATCTAAGTGAGATTTTGTGGCTCACTGCACCAGCAGCCACTAAACCAGTGAGGCCTACTTAAAGCACTGTATGACCAAAGAGGCATTGTGAATCACAGAAAAAATGCTCAGGCACTTTTGTTTGTGTGTGTGCGTGCAGATGTAGCAGAGTGGCACACACCATCAGCAGGCATGTTCCTGTGGATGAAACTGAAGGGCATAGCTGATACCCAGCAGCTGATCATGGAGAAGGCGTTGGAGAAAGAGGTCAGTGTGAACAAACATGCAGGTGCTGTTCTCTTTTCAGGTTAAGACCTGCCTATTGAACAGCAGATACCCCAGAGGCACTTGTGTGCGTGTGTGTGCGTGAGAGGGAAAACACTTGCACAAAGGCTGCTTTACAAGCACCATCCCACACTCTGCCGAGACACAAAACCTGCATCGGCCTTGGTGCAAACATCTCCTCACAAACACACACACTCACACACAGTGTGTTTGTAATTCCATGCTACTGAATTAGCTGTGTATGAACAAGAGTGGGTACAATCGGGATTTTCCAAGGCCTCTGCACAGCAGGCTCGTGTCCTCTGAGTCCTGAGCATTTAAAGCCTTCATACAGCAGATAATAACACCACTGTGTCATTGGACAGAGGAGGAATAATGGACAGCTGAATCTAAAATGAGTCTTTCAGTGCTGTCATAAATGCCACGGCGAACGGTTTACAGGCTGTGAGATCAAAACAGATACCAGAATATTTATACCCAATCCAAACTGCTATATCAGAGTGAGAAAGCTGGTTATCAGAGAAGACAGGATGTTGACCAAACATGGAGGATATCCTGGACGTTATTCCTGGTGTTCCTCTCACTTCACATGAATAATGCCACAAATAGTAATTTTTTTAAAAAAGTTACCAAACAGAGAGAAATACGACGGTGACACAACCTGGCATAAAGGGAAACATTTGGCCTCACAGTTTGTATCCAGTACCTGAACCTTCCTAACAAAAAGCCTGCAGTAACTAAAATATATCACAAAGTTGTCATTTTACTCAGTGAGCTGTTTGAAAGCTAATGTAAGCTTTTTTTTGGACTTTTCTGGACTTAGACGGACATGATTGTAATTTTTATCATTTAGAGTAAAATCTGGTGACCTGCCTGGCTTCATGTTAGCTCAAGACACAGTTTGGCTGGGGTGAATGTAGGAAAAGACAATATGTAATATGTTTTATTCCCTGTGTAAAAACTGGAGATGTGTAAGAACTGGTGATACATGTTTGTGTGTGTGTGTGTTACAGGTCCTGCTAGTTCCTGGAGGCGTGTTCATGATCAACAGTAGTGAGCCCTGCCCCTACGTCAGAGCGGCCTTTTCTCTCAGCACACCGGAGCAGATTGATGAGGTAAACAAATGGATAAACAACCAGATAAACACATACAATCTCTACAACTCAATCTAATCTTGTATTTCTTTCTCCACCAGGCTTTGAAAAGACTCTCTGCGCTCATCAAAGAGGCTTTGTGATGGTTTATTCGTCCTTGGCAGATGCAGGATTTTTTAAATATGTAGTTGAAGGGCTTAGTTTAGATTTAATAGTGCGTTCTTATGACTGTCAAAATTATAGTGTTACAAGCCCAAAATCAGGACCTACACAGAAAAAACTATAGGTGTGCTGACTGGGTGAAGAAGGTATCTGATCATCTGAGTGATGCCCGCCTTCCTCAGCTCAGAGTTTGTTTAGCAGACCAAGAAATCGGTACAGCACACCCTAAACGCTTAATGAAGTTCTTCTAAATCTAGTTTTTCCAACTCTAACCATCACCCATCACAGAGACGTCATAATCTCTGGGATGAATTCATGTTAACAAACAGATCATTTTCTAGAAGAAAAATGATCCCTTTCTTAGCGAGCAGGAAGTCAGAGAGCTCCGTCTTAACAGTTCTTGATATAATTATTTTAAAGTAGACCAGAGGCCTCTGCGACAAAGCAAGATTTAGGTTTATCTGGGTAACTTCAAGGTTAGCCCTGAGTTTTCTGTACTATGAAAGTGGTTCACTTTCATGCTGAAACATTCAAGCAAGTAAGTAATACAAAGGGAAATGGAGAAGGACGAGGTGGAGGGAGGAACAGAAAACGAAACCCTGAAAACACTAAACATAAATAAACTAAAACTAGGAACTGAAACCACGTAGAAAAAGCAAGGACTCAACTCCAGGAAAGAAGAATACAGCAAGACCTGAAGCACCACATAGCTGAATCGAAACCTCAGCACAGCAGCAACCTCAAACTAAGAGGATCAGAATATCCAACACATTAAAAACCCTCTAAAGAAACTCTGACCCCTGGGACCCAAACCAGGGCAAACATGGCAGACACAGCCTCACTGCTGTATAATGAACAATGGCTACACAAACTCATTACTGCATGAGAACATGGTTTTTATCTCATCTGTGAAATAAAGTAAGGACTTTTTACCTTTTGTATTTTGTTGTATATTTTTTTTTAGTCTGTTTGTAGTTTGCTGCTCAGGGATTGGTGCAGATGATAAAATCAGATCATATTGCAGGTGGACTGATCTGATTTCACTTTACAAAGTAATTGGTGTGGTTCTTACATAGTGCTTTTCTACTCTGAGCACTCAAAGCGCTTTAGAAAACTTGCCTCATTCACACCAGTGCTTTTTTCTACGCTTGTTCTAGCTAACATTCACACACATCCATAGCAACTTGAGGATAGTATCTTGCCCAAGGATATTTGGTATGCAAAGTGGAGGGACCTGAGAGCTGGTCAGGTTCAGGTGAAGTCATGAACAATTCAGCACCGACTCGTCTTCCTCTTCATCCTTTTTTCTAAAGTCTCCTGGCTCTCACATAACAGCACCTGCTGACAACAGCAACAACAGGGTCTATCTGTTTGGTGGGAACTGTTTTCTTCTCCTTTGTACAGACTTTCTGCCCCCGCTGTGTTAATATGTAGCAGTCTGAAGTGTTTGTGTACAGCTCAAACATTCATCTGGAAAGGAGGACGGGGTCAGCGAGGTGGCTTAGATACAAGACTGTTAACACTTTACCCCTCTCACTGCAGTCGTGGATGAAGCGTTCAAATTTGAATGCAAAGATTTCTGTAAATAACAGGATGGGAATCTGAACAACAACTGAAGAGGAGCAACTGTGAAGAGGTCTCTCTTTGAATGTGTTTCAGTCAACAGTAACTTTAAAACCGAAGCAGTGCCCCAGATTTGTTTGGTAGAATGTGAAACATTAACACAGAAATGGATGAAAGCACCAAAATCCTCTCTAGAGCAGAAAAGTTGAAATTCTCTTAAAGTTACTGAATAAACTTTTGTTTTGTTTTTACTTTGAAACAATAAAAACAACCTTCCACACAAGCTAAAACACACAGCCTTAACCTCCACAGCTTCTATACATAGATGAAGCATTGACTTAATTATTGACTGCCTGCTGAGGTTCTGGCATATAACGTCAATCCCCGACTCGCGCTGTGGCTTCAGGGTCTCCTTTTATCAGGCCTGGTAAACAGAATAACAGCCTGTACAGGCTGAATGACCCTGGCCGGGTCTAAATTTAGAGCAGCCTTTATTCTGCCTTTAATTGTTTCAAAAGGAAGCTGGCACTGTGATCCACATACAGTCTTTTCCTTGAACAGCCTTTTAGAATGTGTTTTCACCACAGCCCATTTACCTCTTACTATAGGCCTACGCTGTAATGCAGACATGCACAAAATAACCTACTTAGTGTGCCATGCTATTAAATGCCACAAGGCTTTATGTGAGCGAGGTTATCAGTCTTTTGCACTGGAAAGCTGTTCAGACCTTACTTCTGTCCTCGTGGGAGTCTGGAGGCCGGGCTGCATAAACATGCAGCAGTTATATCCTGTGTGAGGAAGGATAAACGAGGCTCCAGCACTGATGCTCACAGGTGTGTTGTGTATTAAAGCTTCCATTTAATATCTTACTTCGTGTGTCTAGGTTTGTCTGATCTATCTGAAAGTAAACCATGTAAACACAAGTATCATTTTAAATCAGCCCATGGTGCTTAATTTTTAATTAAATTTAAAAAATCTACATTTTTTAAACCTGTTTTGTGTATTAACTTGTGGCTTTTTGTGGTTTAAAAGCTCAAGTTAACAGAATTTCCAATATCCTCCCTGCCTGGTGTAAGCTGCTAATAAATTAACCAGAGAGCATAAGAGAACAGGTTTAGTGATGGTTTGGATAAGTTGAAGTACTGGCAGCATATTAGCGGTATTAGATCGTATTGCACTGCACCAGTATTTGTTCATGTGTTGCATTTTTCCCACCCTCTGCGCACCCCACGTGATCAAAAATCAAGCAAAGAATGTTAAAATGGATTAAGTTATAGAAACCATGTCACAAATATTCTTTTATTGTATAAAGTGAGAATTCAGTTTGAGTCTGGCAGCCATCTGTACAGGCAGGGCAACCCAAGCAACTGGGCGACGTTGCCTCCCTCCGTGCCTTGAAGCAGCTCAGTCGTCGTTTGCAGAGCGAGCTGTCAGCGGTCCGATGAGGAGGAGGACGATGATGCCCGAGCAGAAATAGCACAGCGATAACCGCCGACTATGGTAGTTTCTACCAAACTTTCGAGGTGAAACAGCGGCCGACCATGATGTGAGTATGAAGCCCGAGTTTTATTAGCGGGGGAGTCGCGGATTTTGCCGTTTTTAGGACCGTTTATCCGCCGCCGCTGCCATTGTCAACGGTAAGGACCGGCTTGCTGGACCGCTTGGCTCTCCGCCGAGGAGGTAACGTTGCAGCATTACCCGATGTCTTTTCAGCTATTTGTTTCTCCTCTTTTGGTCCAGTAACGTTGACAATTTAACTGTAGCGATACATGAAATGAACCCTCGTCCTGTGTAAACAGTCTGCGGTGGCACAGTTCTGGAAGGGTCCCCATACATATATTTGCTGTCCAGCACGTAGCCGGGCCCCACGCCCTTGTTTTATTTTATTTTATCCTCAAGCACAGTTTAAAATCTTAACAGCTCAACCACACATGACTAATATCCGCATTGACATATCTGTATTCTACCTAATTGATAAAGTAATGTAGGTAACGTTATTTTCGTCGGAGGGACTTTACGTGTGACAGCGGAAAATAGCCGGAGCCCACACACAGCTCCGTTATGTGGCAGTCTCCCTTTGTTTTCATACTAATCGAGCCCAAAGATGCGGTTGTAACGCAAAGCAAGGCTGCCTATATGGATAAAACGTTAAAAAAACAACAACATTGTTAATCGTAGTTGTTGTTAAGCTGTACTATGTGCGTTATATCTGTCTGATGTAACACTACCAGCCTTTAGCTGGAATATTAGCTCGATGTCAGCTTCAGACTAGCAAAAATGCTGCCGTTTGATGTTGCTAACTTTGAAGTCTATGAATGAACATTTAACGGTGTTTTAGAGAGGATTTCTGTGTGACTGGCTCAGATGCGGATGCAGTTTATTACAGTGAAAGCTGATTGAACAGTAGATACCGTTAACCCTGCGAGACATAAAGGAAATGGGCGATTAGTGTAATAACAGCAGCAGTGATCAAAAATATGGTATTTACCGGAATAAGAACGCAGTGTAGGGGAAGTAACTGCGAGGTTGCAGGGTTAAGATTGTTGTCACTTTAAATCTAGCACAGAAACAGAATCTGCTGCAGGTTATTAAACATGGAGTGCGTTTCTTCATAGTGTATATAAAGCAAAGTGCTGGGCCACACCTCATAATCTTTGAATTCAGGTGGTTAAAATCAACCCTGAGTGGTGTTATTGGAGCGTGGGAGCCTTTAGGAACCACAGCAACTCACCCACAAAGTCCCAGATACAGTTACGGAGTGGGGTCGCTGAGTGCTGAGGGATGTGGCATAGGCATTAACATCAGCACAAAAACTGCCCTGGGAGCTTTGAGGCCAAGGAGCTCTTGTAGGAGCAATATGCAGGTAGCCCAGTACTTTTGTCCATATAGTGTAATTGTAAATGGATACTTTTAGATCTTAGATCTTTGTGTGAACAAAATTCAAATGTAAAAACGTAATCCTGTCTCACAGAAGTGTATTAACCTATGGTTGGAGTTCTAGTTATCAAAACATCTGATTATTATTAGTTTGTTCCTGGGCTGTCTCTAATTATTGCATGCCCCTCACTTTCTTGCTTCAGTGAGATGCTTCATGGACCTGAGCTGAATACCAAATTACCCTCAAGCATCACAAGATAGCCAGTCTGCAGGATGGAGTCCCTGGAGGAATGACAGTTTCGTCCCCCTTGGGTAACAAACCTTCAGCTAGAGAAAATGAACTGGGCCGGTGGATTCGTTTTTCTGGTCCTGGTGTTCTTCGTCGCCTCGCAAACTGCCGGGGCCTCACAGCTTAACGCAGACGGAAACTACACGGAAACCGGTAACGCGACAGACGGAGGATCTGTCCCCGCTGTGTTCACAAGCGTGAGCCAGATAATTGCCCGAGAGGGGAGCTGCACACTGATTGATTGCAATGTCACTGGAGACCCATTCCCCAGCGTTCAGTGGTTCAACTCCCACGGTCACCGGGTGGACACAAGCGGTGAGATAGACTTTTTTAAAAATTCATTATAAACCTGGTTTCCTGCTCTGACTTTCCTATTATAAAATGATCACATTAAAGCAGCCCACTGAAGTGAGTGGTTCCTGACTGTTTTTCTTTTTGCAGTGACATTTTTATTTACTTGCAGCAGCATCATTGTTACCACATGAGTTTAGGGTGATTTTCTTAATTGGAGTAAGTTAACCAGGACTTAGAAATCAGCATAAACACTACAGGTTTCTCCCCACGGGAGCTTGTGCTGTGGGCTTTAAACATTCTGAGCAGTCATCGTAAGAATCTAAAGACCAGAAGCGTTGCTGGCTCTGTATTCAAAGAGGAGTCTGACTTATGTTCCTGGGGGGATTGTGGCCCAATTATTCTCCATTTTGTCTGGCAGCAGTGATTATTCTTTTTCTGATGGATGGTCTGTGTCAATTAGATTCAGGAAGCCTTAAACTAGTGATTTTCTTTCGAGCCCACTATCCTTTTGTCTGTGATCCGCCTTAGTAGAAACAGGGAGGGAGCAGTGGTTTGTTGTTTTCGCGATCCTCCTGAGCCGACCTGTTGAAACCTGCTGTTGAGAGCGAGAGAAAGAGAAGCCGCAGTTGTTATTATGACCTACAAACCCAGAAGTGCGTCTGTACCCGCCACTCAGCTTTTCCCTTGGGTTACACTCAGGAATATAATTAGGGGCAGATAGACTTTCCCATAGCTGGCAGTACTTCACTGAGCAATAAACGTAGCAGAGTCACTAACCTGGATCCTGTAAAACGAAGCCAGTTCATCATACCCAGGACATATTTCTGTTATCAGGTCTCACTTACTGTAACATTACCAGTCAAACTGTCACAAGAAGCTGGTTATCGACTCGAAAAGTCTACCCAGGGTTTATCAGTCTAGCTGCCAACACTTTCAAATGAAAGAGGGGTGACGTTAGCAGTACCTGGCCAATCAGAAACACGCACAGATCTGCTGGTGAAAGTTCTATGCATGCTTTTTACAAAGATAAAGGGAGCAGATGTGGGTGTGCGAGAGGAAAAGGGCTGTATGAATGTGTGTGTCTGGCTTTTTCAAAGGATAAGTGAAGGTCCAAAAGTACATATGTGTCCTGTTTATGATTAAGGTTAAAAGAACAAAAACTATTTTCAAACGATTAAAACTGATGCTCATCTGGGAACAATAGCGACTTTTAGACCCAATTTAAAAAACCAAACCTTAAACCTTCTTACTAACTCAGCGCTAAGATCTGAGGGATGCTCCAGGAATAGTGCCTTTCCCTAGAGCTGATTGATCAGTAGTTTTGTACCTGTTGATCTCTTATTTTAAACAGAACATGCTCAAGAGCAGGTGGCGTGTGAAGCAAGAGTAAAACACCCAAGGTTAACCCTGAAGTTCCCTCGATAAGCCCCACATCCTACTTGGTAGCACAGGCTTCTGCAGTTTGTTAGCTCGTAGTACTCGGCAGCACATCAGTCATTTTATAATCTGGTGGTGGTGATAAAATTAGAAATGCTCGCCTCCACATGAAAAAGGCGGATGGGCGGGACACTGTTTGCCGGCCAGGCTACATTTCCTGAATGCCCATTCATCCTTCTCCTCCGGAGGATAGCAGTGTGGGAAATTGATCGTGATTGCCGAGTAGAAAGGAGCAGAAGTGGTTTTTAGACCTCATACTGCAGATTTGTAAAAGCCCTCTGTGATTTCTGTCCATCTCTTGCTCCCACACAGTAGCGACAGTGAGTAGCTGGGGAGGAGGTGAATGCACTAAAACGTTGCTCTGTGGGGGAAATATGCAGCAAATAGGGTCGTTAAAAACAACTTTCAGCCAAAGGTAGAAAACGGCAATAACTCAGGGATGTTAACTGCATCTGCAGAAAGACTGCAGAGCGACTACAACGCACCTGCGCTGTGCTGGGCTGCAAAACCTTATCAGACAAGCATCTCTTAAGCTGAGCTCAGCACAAAGATTGGAATCAGGTTGAAACAACAAACTTTGTTTGGTCTGTAAGTAACAATATCTCCACCAGCACCTCCGCAGCCCACTCAGCGATATGTTCATACAACGCTTTATTCTATACACTTTGGTCTACCTCACATCCACGGTAACTCACTAATTAACCTGGCATTAAAGGTGGATGATATACTCATATTATAATATGTCAGCAGCATTTATAATATTTCTGATGATATAGAAGAAGAAAAAACACTGAATGGTAACAGCATTATGGATAAAGTAGGAGTGACACAGTGCAAGCTTAAATGTAAGCACACAAATATAACACAGCTGCTTAACGCTTTACTTTAATTGTTCTTATTAATAATCTAAGCCTGTAACGCGTCAGGAGCTGCACAATATTGTCACATAAAAATGAAATTGATATTTTCTGCCTGGGATGTTTCCACACAGTTACTGTAACTTTCATCTACCATTTGTCATATGGAGTGCAGCTAGCAAATACTCCAGCAAAGCGTATCCTTGTTATGCTTAATGATGGGTTATTGTTATTATTTCTTTTAGGGCTGCACGATTAATCGTTAGAAAATCGCGATCTCGATTCATACTTATGTGCGATCTCATTTCCAAATGACAACGATTTAAAAAAAAAAAAAAAGACGACGATTGTACCGCATTTTGATCCGGGACGTAATCTGCATGAAAACAAGCGCTCACTCTTCCTGCTCAACAAATGACAAGGGCGGAGCCTTATACCACGTGATACAGAAGCTGTGCCGTGTGATGCTAAAATTAGCAGGAAAAAACAACGGAGAGCACGTCAGGGATGACGAGAAAGTGACAGGAGAAAATCCGTCCCGGTCAACCACCCAAACATCAATAACGGGAACCTTATACAGCGCTTCCCTATACCCGTCGAACTCCCGCAGGCACAAAGAAATTACGGAGGCTATCACTTATCACCTGACCAAAGATATGGCTCCCATCAACACTGTGCAAAACGAGGGATTTAGGAAAATGATCAACACCCTAGACAAACGCTACACAGTGCCGTCCCGCAACTATTTTTCTATTGTTGCACTACCTGCTCTATACACGCAGCGTCGAGCAACGGTGGAGACGGAATTTCAAGCAGTACAACATTTTGCGGCAACAACAAAACGTGAGACATTTGTTGTTTTTATGTTTATTTATTGTTTTTATGTTCAGTCTCAACTGTTACGAAGTTGATGTGCAGTTAATAAGTGCAATAAATATTTATACTGGAAAAGAAAATCGTGAGAGAATCGTGATCTCAATTCTAAGCCAAAAAATCGTGATTCTCATTTTATGCAAAATCGTGCAGCCCTAATTTCTTTTATTTATTTATCTTTGCCTCAAGTGGTAAAACAAGTTTCCACCTTCAGTGAACACCATAGCTGGATTGGCCATCGGGCATACCAGCATTTGCCCGTGGGGCCGATGGTGATTTTTTGTTTTTATGGGCCGATGATTTATTTTATTAATTTTTTATTTATTTATTTTTATAACAGTATAAACAATGAAAGGTGATGGATTGGCCAGATGCTGGCAGATGTGTAAAAATAACTCAGTTGTTTGGTGGTGGCATTTTACGTGTTAAACAACAGCAGCACGTTTAAGCTTGATCAGCTGTTGTTAGAATTTATTTAATATTAATTTCTAGTATCAGCTGATGTTTGCTGGAGCCACAGCTGTAAAAGCTGCTGGTCATGATGTCGGTTTGGTTATCTGGTGAGAGGGAAACATGAAGATGAAACCAGGAGATGTCCTTACTGAATCATCAGAGCTGAACAGGTGATGGAGAAACAGGTTTACCTTTTAGGTGACATGAATGAGTTGAAGGGAAGTTATGAACTGTTTCTGAGAGACAAATAACACCAGGATCCTTTTCTAGTAGCTGACAGCTGGTAACTGTGCAGGGGCGGGTCTAGCAAAGTGTTGCCAGGGGGGCCAGGTAGGGCATTAACAGGGAGAGGGGGGCACAAAGAAATACTTTTCTTTCTTATTCTCATTTAAAATGTCTAGCTTTTATTAAATAATTATCTGAATCTTACAACCAAAGTTTTTATCTGATGAAAATGTATAGAAATCATACATATACCAACAAGACAGTGTACATCACTGTCACAACAGCGTTTGTTTTCATTCAAAGGCTTTATGGTTTTTCCTATAATACTTGGTGGGCCGGTCTCTAGTCAAAATGCCCGGGCCGATTTTTTGTCCCAGTCCAGCCCTGGTGAACACAGTTTTCTTCCAAGTATTCTGCTGTGTTGGAAGAGGCTGAAGCAACTCCCTCTGATCTGATTGTTTTGGTGATGAATCTTGTACGCACCAGCGAGCATAACCACGTGGAGCTGCCGTGACAATGAAGTCATCATGTGGTCTTTTATATCACTTAGAAATGTATACAGGTATTGACAATGTGGTATGTGGTACCTCACTAACAAGCACGTCTTTGGACTGTGAGAGGAAGTCGTCTGCTTCTCCATCACTCACTAGAATAGCTCATGAGGGTGAGAACAGCAGGCATCGAATGCTTTTCTCCTTTCCCTTTAAACCACACACAGGTGTTAACAGCACCACTCTGACTCCAGGCAGTTTCTCAGCTAAAACAGCCTCTTTACTATTCTAATGAGAACTGATACAGAACCAGCAAACATTTAGGCTACACACACACACACCCTGTATGAATCGCTCTGCCATGGATTTGACTGTAAACCACATTTTAATTAAGCACTTCTCGAGTTACCTCCTGTGCTGCCTGACAGGTGCTGTTAGTTATCTGTCACCACAACTGGTGGCCAACCCTGTGACTGAGGTTATCAAATGTAGGCTAGCAGGGAACCAAACTTTGTAGATGACGTCATTACCCGTGATCTGTTTACAAGTGGGTAAACAGATCGCTTGTGTGCCGATCAGTGCTGGAAACCTCAGCACACCGAGACATGTTTAAATATTGAAAGCATGGCAGGAACACTAAGGTCACTTCAGCTCTGCGCTCACATATGCAAACCACATGTTACCTTAAAACGAGTCAGCTCATTTATCTCATGTAGCACTGTTGACTAAAGCATAGAGGTGAATAAGAGAGTGCCGATGCTTTAAAGGACTTTCTGTACAGTAACAGGACAGGCATGAAGATAAAACGCCGTGTTTTCCTGAGCGGACGGATTCTAAAACGCAGAGTGAGAAGGGATAAAAAAAACACAGAGTGCTCCTCTTCAAAAGCAGCAGCTGCAGAAACACAGCTGAGGAGAGGTTACAGCAGACTCCAGAGCAGGGAGACTGATGCATTAAGAGGATTTTCAGGGTTTAAACTCTGACTTCAGTAGGCCGTGTTGTACCACTGAGTGGTCATGATTCTAAATCTGGTCAGGATGTCCAGTTTCTGCTAAAACTAATGACGGGATTTTCTTTCTGCGTGGTCTAAAATGTTTGGCAACCGCGAAGACGTCTCAGTCGGAGCTGCTGTAATAAAATGATTTTTAACCAGATTTTTTGTTTGGGATTTAGTTTACTCAAACATAACAGACAGCTTTTCTTATTAAATGATAGAAGATAAAAATGTCTACATTTCTGTCAAACAAGGTAACAGAGTCATTGCCTTGAATAGACAAAGACCATTTGTGCCCAAAAGTCACCTCTCAGAGGCTCAGTGCAGGCCAGGAAAAAGCTCATGTTGTTGGCTCAGTCGGTTAGGATAACACAGCCATGACCAAAATAACTTCCAAGGAACCGAATCTGCACATTAACAGGGAAAAGCAGCAGCAGTGACACAGTCAAATCCTCCAAACACATTTCAAACAGATGGGCCACAAAAACAAAAATCCTGATTCTTTAAAAGTTTTTTTATTCCATGTTTTACACATTCGTGACCTTCTCTGTGTCTGCAGGAGGGAAGTGGTCGCTGCTCGACAACGGTGTCCTCAACATCACTGGCATTGAGTTCGCGGACCGCGGGAAGTACACCTGCATGGCGTCCAACGCGTACGGCAGCTCCAACTGCACGGTGACGCTGCGCGTGGTGTTCACCAACGGCGACATGGGCGTGTACTACATGGTGGTGTGCCTGGTCACCTTCACCATCATCATGATCTTGAACGTCACGCGCCTCTGCATGATGAGCAGCCACCTGAAGAAGACGGAGAAAGCCATCAACGAGTTCTTCCGCACCGAAGGCGCAGAGAAGCTGCAGAAGGCCTTTGAGATCGCCAAGAGGATCCCCATCATCACCTCGGCCAAGACGCTGGAGCTCGCCAAGGTGACGCAGTTCAAGACCATGGAGTTTGCGCGGTACATCGAGGAGCTGGCCCGGAGCATCCCGCTGCCCCCACTCATCATGAACTGCCGCACCTTCATGGAGGAGATCCTGGAGGTGGTGGGGGTGGAGGAGATGAGGCACACCTTCCTCAGGCAGGCTCCCGACGGACGCCGGCTCCCCTCCATCGGGGTGAGAGATGTCTTCACAATCCTGCAGGAGAGGGAGCGGGGACGCAGCGAGTCACCCGCCGCCGATTCCGACAACTCCTCTGATCACGAGCAGCCGCAGCACATCGCCATCCAGGTGTCGGTCCACCCGCCACTCGTTGTCGGCGGGTACAGCGAGGAAGCCGCAGAGCAGCCAGAGGCTACGGCGTCCCCGTCCCCGCCGCCGTCTTCTCTTCACCACAATGAGCAGCCCGAGGACACCGAGGAGGTCGCTGCCGCCGACGAACCGGTGGCAAGCAAGAGCCCAACATGCCAGGTGTTCTACGAGAGCCACGTGTGACGAACTGTGGCGAGCTCCGGAGAGACGATACGTTACCCTGCTATGCATTTCCACTTGAAAAAGGTCCATAAACATTTGTAAGTTCACATTTTGAAGAGAAACAATCAGTTGTATTTATCGTTTGTGAACAATCGCTCTAAACCTCTGCAGGCTCATCTACTGAAAATCAATCAAAAGGAGACTCTGGGTGCTTGAATGTATCCGGGCGGAGGAATATCAGTGTAAATGTAACAAGCAAAGCATTGTAAACGGGCATTTCCTGTGTTCTTATTTAAAGAGTTGTGGGGATTTTTCAGTTGGTAGTTTCTTACAGTGCTAGGGGTTTTTAACGACATACTTCAGAAATCTGCCTCAAGCTGCTCTGCGTGCTCTTGTTTTCGGATTGTGAAAGCGAGCTTCCTAGATCCACTCCAGAATTCACATCCAGCTACTGTCACAGCCTACAGATGCATGCCGGACTCGAGGAGCAATAACCGACAGTCCGACTGCTTACTCATGATTGTACAGCTCTCTGCATCTCTAACAACATGGAAGTAAGCGAGGAGAGAGAGCACACACACTGGGTGGAGCTTAGATCTGTTTCCCTTAAAATACTTTGAGTATTTTTATTATTACTGCCCATTTTGTGCTGTGATTTTTGTTTCTTAGTCATTTTTATCTTCTTACTAAGACTAGTGTCTTGTTTTCGCTTGAGTAGAGAAGAGCAGCTTCGCTTCCTTTGTGATTTTATTTTAATTTGACTCCTGACCCGATTTCTGCATCTTCGTCTTGCTTCTGCAGAAACTTTACAGTACAGTCGTATTTCTGCTGCATGTTGGGATTTTAGACATCTTTCTCTGGGACTGAAATGACTCCTTTTGTTTGGCCCTTCGCTTGGCTTACGGTCCAGTCTGTGGCAGATATGAGTGGGCGATGTTCTGCTTCTTCTGGTGCTCTTCGATGCTTCTCTTTTGTAGTGGAATAAAATGAAAGTGCTGTGCTTAAAATGATTCCACAGTTTGGTCTGATGTCTTTTTTTCATTATCAGTCATGAAGTTGGCATATTAAATGGAACTTATTATGCTCATTTCCAGCTATTACAGCAGCTTTGCATGATTCACAGTTCAAAGTAATCATTTATCACAAGTAACCCTGTATGAAATAAGCCATTATTAGCACCTCTCCATTTACACCAGTAGTTCTCAGCTTTTTCTGGTGTTTCCTTTCTTCCCAACAAGCAAAAGGTTCCTGGTTCAATTGTAGGAGGAGACAAAGTCTTTGGGGTTGTATCAGAAAGAGCATCCAGTGTAACATGACAAAAACAAAACAAAAACATGGAGCTGTGGTGACCTCTTGTGACAAAAATGGAACAGTCATCTTACTTCTGATTGGCTGAGAGAAGAGAAGCTAAAGCATCAAGTGGCTGCAACTATGCCCTTTAATAATACACTAACAAGGCTTATTTTGAGCCATGACTCATGTAAAGTTACTCTAGTAGAATCAAGAATAAAAATCTAAGATGGAAGTGGGAGTAGCTGACCTCCTTTAAAAGCTGAATAAAGACAAAACAAGTTGCAGTGAAGTTTTGGTCCTTTTATTCTTTTTCACTGCAGTCCAATAACAAACCATTCAAGGTCTGCTTTTTCCTCAGCTTGAAATCGTATGCTCCCGAAGGCATTCATGCGAAGGGCGTTAATAATGCAAGTTAGACCTTTTTGTGTAATGGCTGTGGTAGCCATGGCTACGAGGCCGTGCCAGACACAGGTGATGGAGGAAACAGATCTCCTGAGGAGAGAAAAAATAAAATAAGGCTCATTTCTTTCAGAATGCAGGTGAACAGCAGCACATTCATTCAAACAACAAACCCACAAACTGAGAAGCTGCACACAAAATGTTCACACAGCTAATCCGATGATAATATGGATTTAGGTGAGAAAGCCCTGTTTGTTTCTGAGTCTGCAAGAGGATCAGACGCCGTTTTGTGAATGTAGGTGAACAGGGAAAGGACAGAGTCATGAATGATAGATGTGTAAGTGGATCGCTGTCAGGTCGCTGAGACACTGGGCAGGGACTGCTCACAGAAGCTGGTCCATCTCTGGGAAACCTGAACCTCTCAAACTCAACCCCATTCCTGCGTTTGGGACAACATTATAAGACTTCCTGTCTGCACTAATTAGCTTCTGCTAGTCTGAGGACAAGAGCTAAATCACAAAGTGCAGTGCGAATAAACAAATGTCTCGATCTGAGAGAAGCCTTTTCTGTTTCAGTAGCAGGCTGTTGCATTACACCTAAAGGGAACCTCAGACGCTTCAGTAAGACACAAGAGTTCATTTTAGGCTTGAAATCCTTTTTTAACATCACAAAAAAAGCAATTAATATCTGTTTTACAAACATGTATAAACAGAAAAGACTTCATGTGTCAGATTTCTTGCAATATGACTGAGCAGTTGTTGAGAAAGCTGCAACCACAGAGATTATTAGGAGAGACTGAATGAGAGAGAAGATGTTTCATACAGTCTATGCACAGCAAATCATCAGTGGAAGAATCATCAGTGGAAACCTATTAGCTGTTTGTTCTGTCCTGCCACACACACACACAGTGTCAGCGTGTCCTTGGAGGAAAGTGGGGTAAGATGAGCCAGTGGGTAAGTAGATCCACCCTAAATTTAGGTGGCATTTCCTGTTTCAACTGGCTCTGGAGGAAGAACCTGATAAAGTGGATAACATTCTTTTTTAAACAAGATTTTCTTTGCATCATCAGTTTCATATCAAACTCCGCTTTTATCTTAGATTATATACAGTAAAGTTATACCACAGCTGCCAGATGTGCCACATCTGTGTCAACAATATGGCAAATTATGGCTGTGGAGCAACATGAGAACAGAGAGTGAGTGCGTGCCTATCCACACTAATGTTTCTAAGTGCCCGAATAAACAACGTGCAAAGCAGGGTGGAGAGTATTTGCACAGCATTTGACTACAAACAATAATGAAATCCTTACAACGTTTACAGTAAGTGATAGCTCGGCCTGCAGGTTCTTCCTCTGGCAAAGACCACAAGATTGCAACCACAACTCCAAAGAAAACCTGATGACCTGAAATACAAAGCAGCCATTACATGAAAGGAAAAGAGACAGCAAATCAAGAGTTACACTCACTGGACAGTTTATTAGGTACCTTCATGGTCCATGTTGGCATGACAGCATCACACATCTATGATTTGAATCTCCTCTTCTTCCGCATCTCAAAGCTGCTCTATCACACTGAGATCTGGAGACTGTGGAGGTTGTTTGAGTTCAGTGAACTCATTATGTTCAAGAAACCAGTTTGATCTGAGCTTTCTGACATGGTGTGTCGTCCTGCTCGAAGCAGCCATCAGATGGTGCACTGTGGTCATAAAGGGATTGACATGACTGGCATTAATACTCAGGCAGGCTGTGGTTTTTAAATGATGCCCAGTTAGTACCGAGGGGCTCAAAGTTTGCCAAGAAAATATCCCCAACACCATTATACCGCCACCAGCCTGAACTGGTGATACAAGGCAGGATGGAGCCACGCTTTCATGCAATTGACACCAACTTCTAAACCTACCTTCTGAAAGTTCCAGAGACTCATCAGACCAGACGCCGTCTATTGTTGTCCAATTTTGGTGAACCTGTGAACTCAGTTTCCTGATCTTAGCTGACAGCAGTGGCAGCTGGTCTCCTGCTGCTGAAGCCCATCTGCTTCAAGATTCAACATTCAGAGATGCTCTTCTGCATCGTCTACTATGGTAACAATAGTTATTTGAGTTACTGCTGCCTGCCTTCAGGTTGAAGCAGTCTGCCCAAAATAAAATCCTCCAGAAAACTGCTGCTCACTGGATATTTTCCCGATCATAAACCAGAGAGATGTCTGTGTGGGGAAAATCCCAGCAGTTTCTGTAACAATTAGACCAGTGTCAGCTTAAACTTCAGTAGGTCGTCTTGATCACGTCCACATGAATAAATGTGTTGAGCTGCTGCCATGTGATTGGTTGATTAGATTTACAAGCAGTTGATCAGGTGTACCTGGTAACCTGTCGGTCAACAGGTGATGGGTTTGTATTTTATAGAGCACCTTTTTCTTTTTTGTAAGAATGAGTTTCTATTTTAATGAAAAGGGTAAATAAACTTTGTCTTCGTGGAAACTATAAAGTTTTCTGAAAAGTCTGTCTGATTCTAAAATCGAGGACTTTTGTGAGCTTCATGACAGCTAACAAGTGGAGCTGACAGCCTGACAACAAGCAAAACCTGCCGAGAACAAATCACACATCAGTCCTCGTGTGCAACTTGAATCTTTTTTTTTTTTAATTTAAAACAAATTTTAATCTTTACAGGTTTTATTTTTAATATACAATCAAACAATTGTTGTAATCATACATGAAATTTATTATAGTAATGCACAACTCTATCCAGACTACCCATAAATAAAAAAAAGAGAAACAAAAAAAAGAAAAACATCGAGATCAGTATGAAACACAACGTTAGGCAACACCACAGGTAACAAAGACGATCCTGTCACACCACAGCAGGACAGTCACTGCAATGCAAAGACGGACACAGGAACACACACACCTCACTTCATTTCCCTTCATCGAGTGATGACGTTTGATTAA